GCTCGTGTTTCTCTTGCTTTCTGTTTATTTGCACAAACTGAACTCAGAAGAGTTTTTGTGTGTTTGGCTGCAGAACGACTGGGAAACGAGTTCATTTCATTATAAATGCTTTTAAATCCAAACTAAGATCCTTGAGGCCGTTTCCATAACACACAACTGTTTCAGTGAGATTGCTGTCATTTTAATTGAATTGAATTTTGTGTGTGTTGTTGTTGCCTGTGTTTAATTGTCTAATTTTTGTAACTGTGGAGTATGCTGCTGCCTGTTTTGAGCAGGCCTCCTTTGGTTCGTGGGATCTTCCTCGTCGGGGCGACAGCATGGAGCTCGCCTTTGATTAAAAACACGTTTACTGCACAGAATCACCAGGATTGATTGAATTCACTGATAGTGAAGAATATTTGTTCAGTGCTTTTCTTTGAATGGATCTAAACTCTGATGAAGTCTTCCTGAGCGAGAAGCTCCACCAAACGAGCCGATCGATGCCGAACGCTGCACGAGCCGCATGCAGCCGGCGCAGCAGTAATCTGGCAGCACGAGGAGCAGCGCCGCTCTGCTGCTGCTCGTGTTTGTGGAACAGAGACAGGAGGGGGTATGGAGTCTTTTGTTGGCAGCAAACTTCCAAAATCAAATGCGTTTTGTTGTTTTTCCAATTATTTTCCCACTTGGCTTCAGGCCCCGCCGATTGGCCCTTTAGAGCCGCGGCTGTTACGGGTCACATCGGGTCACATCGGGGTCACGGATGCTGCCTTCAAGCTCGTCTGCAGCTGGCGGTCTCACACTCTGATGCACACGAACTGGGTCAGTCACACTGTGGAGTGAGGATGTGCAGAGAGCTGAATCACTGCTCTGATTCCTGACGACTCGGTGCCGGCAGGGCTCAGGGAGTCGGATGACTCTCACTTTATTGCCCATTTCTTGGCCGGAGCCGAGGAGACGTTTGCCATCGTCTCTGCTGGAAGCCTGTGTGAAAATCTTGCTGTGGAAATAAAAAAAAGAGGCAGAATGTGGCGCTCTCTCATTTTCGCTCACTCTTCTTTCTCTCACCCCCTACTCCCTTGTACTCTTCCTCCCTCCGTGGGTGTTCGGTACACTAAGTGCTGCGTGATTGCCGGGGCCGTGAGGAGGCGTGAACAGCCCTCAGCCAAGTGTCCCTGCTTCCCCGAGTGGTTTTTCTGGCGCTGCTTTGGTCGAGTGGCAGAGGAGTCAGCAGTCTGATCAACCACAGCGCTGCGTGGCAACGCGACGGTGCGATTTCCATAACAGCCTCTGTGTTGTTGATACATGCAATAATGGTCACAGCGAAATGTCACGCAGGCTCGCCACATCTGGGCGAAGCGCTCACGTGTGCCCTTCAGGAACGTGTGCGGGGAACAGCAGCATTGTCTTTGCTGCAGCCTGTCAACAGCAAATAATAAAGACGGGCTTGAAGGGCGGAAACATCTGTGCAGATGTGGTGACGGAGGAACTTCAGTTTGAGTTTGTCGCCTCTCCCACAGGATGCAATCTGCTTATTATCTGTTACGTGGCGACTACACGATGTCAGGAGACAAAGTTACACACCAGCGGTCGGTGAGGTCGTTGTGATGTCACTCACTTTGTAAAGCATCATCAGTGTTTCGATAACAAGCCGACTGTGAAGCTCAGCGTCACTGAGCATGCTCCGATCAGCCTCCTCGCTCAGGGCCCAGGTTAGAGTGACCGTCCACGGATTTATCATCGAAATCTTTTATTCCTTTTGAAAATCAAACATTTCTGGGCGATTTACAGTCTGTTTATGGGCTTTTTCTACATAAGAGCAGTTAAAACGTTCCCAAATGATCCCAGCCTGTGTGTTTATCACATAACAGAACAACAACCACACGCCTCTAATGTGTGATGGGTAAAAAACATACAGATCTTCTCATTTTCGTCGGCCCAGGTTGGATAC